TATCCGACCATGACTCCCGTTTTGTTGGTGTGAAGATAGGTAGGTAATGATAGTAGCCATAGCTAGGACTAACCTAGCTAGGCAAGAAGAAGTTAGGCAAAAGAGAGGGGTTGTACTAGCAAGCAATGGGATACAAATATGAAACCCTAAGGGGTTATACTCGCTATAGAGTACCCCACTGCAGGCTAGATAACAAATATGACATTCTGACACACCCCCATAGCCAAAGTGGGGTGTAATCAGCAGAGCAAGCAAAACAAAACAAGCTCAGGGTGGATCACAATGTCACCACACAGTCTGAGCACAAGTTCAAGCAGCAGTAGTATAAAGTTCACAGTTATAAGCAAAGCTAGAGGTAGTCACAACGGGCAAGTGAGGAGGAGGAGAGAGACTGAGAGGAGAGGAGATAGGAGGCGACGGATGAAGCTGCAGACACACGGGCAACAGGAGGCAGACTGGCAGAGCGGCTACCGGACGAAGCCCCCGGACTACAGGAGTAACTGGCCCCGCGGCTAAAGTAGCGGCAGACGAGCAACGGACCCACGGGCACAGCTGGCTACGACTGGGCTACCGGACGAAGTCCCCGGACTACAGGTGCTGCTAGCGACACATCGGCATCCTCCATTCAGCTTCCCCATACTGTCCTATTCCCCTTGGCACACACCCACTGCTACACCGCTAGCTCTCCTCCCCTTCCCCCCCCCTTAGTATCGCTCCACCGGCTCCACCACAATCACCCCCCCCCTCAGCGGCAGCTGCAGCACAAGGAGACGGAGGAGGAGGAGGAGCAGGGAGTGGTACTGAGGAGGGTCACCCCCATACCCCTCACCCCCAAACCCTAAAGTAGGAGAATGGGGAGTAGGAGGGGTAGGGCGGTAGTAGAGGGACTGGGAACAGCGGGGAGGGCAGGGAAGGTAGGAAACGGGCCCACCACGGGCCTGGTAGGGACGCCCGAGCCGCACGCATGTGGCCCGAGCCGCGCGCGGGTCGGGCGTCTCCCGTACGGGCCGCGCGACGGCCTGGCGCAGCCCGTACGGGCCGCGCGCGGGCCTGGCGCAGCCCGTACGGGCCGCGCGCGAGCCTGGCGCAGCCCGTACGGGCAGCGCGTGGGTCTGGCGCAGCCCGTACGGGCCGCGCGCTGCCTGTACGGGCCGCACAGAGGCCACGACGGGCGACGGGGGGCGACGCGGAGGTCCCCGTCGCCCGTCACAGCGCCTCCTGGGAGCGGCGCGCGGCGTGACGGGGCAGAAACCCGCCGCGCGCCTCAGGGCGCACGGCGGTAAGGGAAAGTAGTAGTTGCAGCGGAAGGAACGTGGTTAGGCACACAGGCCAGGAGCGTACTGCTCTGATCACCATGTGAAGATAGGTAGGTAATGATAGTAGCCATAGCTAGGACTAACCTAGCTAGGCAAGAAGAAGTTAGGCAAAAGAGAGGGGTTGTACTAGCAAGCAATGGGATACAAATATGAAACCCTAAGGGGTTATACTCGCTATAGAGTACCCCACTGCAGGCTAGATAACAAATATGACATTCTGACAGTTGGCAGATTCTGGCAGGCCCTTTTCAACAGGATGGGTACCAAGATTCGCCTCTCAACTGCCTACCACCCTCAGTCTGATGGGCAGACCGAGAGAATGAATCGAACTCTGGAAGATGGCTTGCGTGCATGTGTCAACGCTCGCCAGAACGATTGGGACACCCACCTGCCAGAAATTGAGTTCTCCTACAACAGCACTGTTTACCTTGCTACTGGACAGACCCCGTTCTACCTAGCTACTGGACAGAACCCTCGCACTCCTACCTCACTTGTTCACAGCCCCAAACGTGATACTGCAGCAACGGCATTTCTGAAGGACAGAGAGAAAGCCATAGCAGCAGCACACGCCTCACTCTCCAGGGCACAGCAGCGCATGATTCACTATGCAGACCAGCACCGACGTGACATCCGCTTTCACGTTGGAGACAGAGTACTTCTCTCAACTACAAACCTGCCCCTACTCGCTCAAGGCCTCATCCGAAAGCTCGCACCTCGCTTCATTGGTCCCTTCACAATCACACAGGTCCTCTCTCCACTCACATACCGTCTGGAACTTCCTCCTCACATCAACATCCATGCAGTCTTCCATGTCCAGCTACTACGCCCATATCATGATCCTCCAGCTCGCTTCCTCCCTACTTCTCAGCCACCTCGCCCTCCCATGTTCACTCCAAGCCCTGATTTGTTCGAAGTTGAGAAGATCCTTGCTCACGAAACAACACCTAGTGGCAGATATTTCCTGGTTAAGCGGCGTGAGCATGATGGTGCAGAAAATCTCTGGATTCCACAGAAGGACCTACAGCATGCACAACGAGTTATCTCTGCCTACTTTGCATCTGCTGGTGCACCGAGGATGGTGCCCCTTGGAGGGGGGAGTAATGTTACAGGGCGAAGGCGAACTCGCCACTGAAAAGTTCGCAAGTTGGCGAACTTGTAACTTTCGCCAAAATCCCAACCTGAAATGTCAAATTCGAGGTTGGAAGTTCCAACCTGAAATGTGCGCTTCGGGATTTCCCAAAGTACTCGTGAATTCCCAACCAGCAAAGCAGCAAAGAAGAGAGAAGAGAGCATCTTCACGACAACAAGGCATCAAGTTGCGCCATGCAACTACAACTACGTTCCAGCGTTACAAGACTCAGGTGCAATCACCATGAAGATGAAGAATGAGTCAGCAAGTATCATTTTAAAACTATCTCATAATTGTACTTTGCATATTTCTATATGAACGGCTAGGATCCAGCATAGCATTGTGATCATTGCTTGTACATATTTTGTTCCTAGTTGGTGACAACACAGATAAGTGTTAAGATACTAAGCATGAGTAGGCTTAGGAGCCATAGGTTTAGTAGCTTAGTGATCGAGTTCGAGGGTAAGGAGAAGTGTCGAGAAAGTTGAGAGGGGAGGGGTGTTCACTGTAGCACAAGAGTACATATAGCAAACAGAGCATGCAAGGTGCACCACCAACTAGAAAGTTATATGACTACAGTATTCTACACTACAGGCAGTTATAGAACAATATATAGAATTATATATAAGTCTGACACGCCCCCATAAGTGCCTGTAGGGAAGAATGTGCAGTCAACGCCCCCTGAAGGGGTACACCAAGCGCAGGAGAAGGAGAGGGGAAGTGAGGAGGAGGAGGGACTGTGACAGGAGAGGAGATGGGAGGCGACGGTGGAAGCGACAGACACACGGCGCAACTGGAGCAACTGGCACACGGGCAACTGGAGCAACAGGCATACTGGCAACTGGAGCAACTGGCACACAGGCAACTGGAGTAACTGGCTCCGCGGCTAGATGAGCGGCAGGTTCAACTGACCCACGGGCTACTGGAGCAACGAGCTCACTGGCGACTGGAGCTACGGGCTCACGGGCGACTGGCGCAACGGTCTCACGGGCGACTGGAGCTGCTGGCTTCACGGCGGCCACCTCCACTCAACCTCCCCCACCTGTCCCACACTCATCACCCCCACACCCGCCACCCCCATACCCATCACCCCCACACCCACCACCCCCATACCCACCCCCTCACGGCTGCACCGGGTCCAGGAGCGGCTGCTGCAGTGGCGGCTGCTCCGGGGGCGGCTGCTCCAGGGGCGGCTGCTCCAGGGGCCAGGGGCGGTTCCTGCAGTGGCGGCTGCTCCAGTGGCCAGGGGCGGCTGATGCAGAGGCGGCTGCTCCAGGGGCCAGGGGCGGCTGCAGGTGCGGCTGCTCCAGGGGCCAGGGGCGGCTGCTGCAGTGGGGGCTGCTCCAGAGGCCAGGGGCGGCTGCTGCAGGGGCGGCTGCTCCAGGGGCGGCTGCTGCAGCGGCGGCTGCTCCAGGGGCGGCTGCTGCAGTGGCAGCTGCTCCAGAGGCCAGGGGCGGCTGCTGCAGGGGCGGCTGCTGCAGGGGCGGCTGCTCCAGGGGCGGATGCTGCAGTGGCGGCTGCTCCAGGGGCGGCTGGAGTTGCAAGGCAGGCCCGCGCGCTGTTACAAGGCAGGCGCGGGCATAGGGGAGGCAGAGGCGGCGGCCAGGGGGGGGGGGGGGGGGGGGGCGACGAGCAGGTGACGGGGCCACTAGGGGCGGCAACGGAGCCGAGAAGGGGCGGCGACAGGGCCGCGAAGGGGCTGTGAGGGGCCAAGAAGGGCGGCGACGGGGCCGCTAGGAGTGGCGACAGGGCCGATAGGGGCGGCGACAGGGCCGCGAAGTGTGGCGACGGGGCCGCTAAGGGTGGCGCGAGGGGCCGTGAGAGGAGCAGCGACGGGGCCGCGAAGAGGCCGTGAGGGGCCGAGAAGGGCGGCGACGGGACAGGACGACGCCGCTCGCCCGGGGCGCACGGCGGGCGGAAAACCGCCACGCGCCCCGAGCGCGTGGCGGGAAGAAAAAGGTGTCGTGCACCACGGGGGGCACGACAGATAGGAAAGCAGCGGAAGCACGTGGGGCCCACAGGCCAAGAGCGTAGTCGCTCTGATACCATGTTAAGATACTAAGCATGAGTAGGCTTAGGAGCCATAGGTTTAGTAGCTTAGTGATCGAGTTCGAGGGTAAGGAGAAGTGTCGAGAAAGTTGAGAGGGGAGGGGTGTTCACTGTAGCACAAGAGTACATATAGCAAACAGAGCATGCAAGGTGCACCACCAACTAGAAAGTTATATGACTACAGTATTCTACACTATAGGCAGTTATAGAACAATATATAGGATTATATATTAGTTTGACAATAAGAGATACGGTAGCCTGAACGAGCCTCTCAAGGCACCATAGTCATAGAAGTGTGTATAAGAGTAGTCTTTCATCCCTTGTATGCTGTTCTTGCTTTCTGAAATTTACATAGTTTATGCTACCAAATTTACCTTTTCATTTTAGACTCTCCAAGTTCTAGCTTTCCGAAACTCTAACAGCCTAGAGCTGTTCCACACACCAAACACTTCAAGCTCTCTCCTGTTCTTTCATCGAATAATCCCGCCTGCTTCTGACAATTAGCCATGGCGTACTCGAGAATGTTCGCGCTGGCCTGTGCGCTGCCCCTGGTGGCGCTCGTCCTAGCGTCGCTCTGCCTCAACGCCTCCGCCAAGCTCGTCGTCCCCAAGGCTGCCGCGTCCGCACTTGCCGCTGCCATGTCCGGTGATCTGGCTCAGCTCGACGCCACAAATGCTCTCAGCGACGACGCTGCGACGAGGAGGATTCTCGACGACGACAATGATGACAAGGACAAGGACAAGAAGAAGGACAAGAAGAAGGAGGGCAATAAGGAGGACAAAGTTGAAGAATCTCCTCCCACTCCCTCGCCTTCCACTCCCACCACTCCCAACAAGAAGGGCAGCAAGAAGACTCCCCCCACTCCCACAACCCCCGCCACTCCCGGCAAGCCCGCCACTCCGGGCAAGCCCAGCACACCCGGCGCGGGGAAGCCGGCGGTGAAGCTGAGCGGGTCGGACTCGAAGGTGGTATCGCTGCTGGATGCGGCGGCGGTGGACGTGGACAGCGCCAAGGCGAAGCTCTCCGTCAAGACGTACGTCAAGAGCCTCACGGACACGGCGGCGGCGTTGCGCAACGCCGCCATTCTGATTCGCACTGGGCAGCGCACGCTGGTGGTGGGGCAGATCGACAACTCGATCGCCACCATCAATGGTGTGAGCATCATGCTCCCCGCCAGCTGCGCCGACAAGAGCCTGCTCACGTCCGCCCTTAGCAAGGCGCAGAGCGCTAAGGCCGTGTGGAAGGCGTAACACGCACCAGCCCAGATGGCGTTGCGGGATCTTCGAATAACCGCATAGGCAGGTTTGCTGGATTATGTGAATGGCCACATCCATACAAGTGCGAAACTAGCCGTTAGGTTCCTGGCTGATTGTCATAGCAGTTAGTGCCAGTAGCGACCAATGACTTGTGTCACTTGCTGATAATAATTGTCGCTACTAGGAATAATGTTGCCATTTATGAAAATGTTTGGAACTGTTCAGTTGTGAAAGTACAATGCAATGTTCAGCTGTTTACAATAATGGCTAGTTCTGTGCATTTCGTAAATTGCACATGATCGTTTTTTTTTCGTAAATTTAACGTCCATCCATGCACTCGTCCAATTTGACTGAGCCCCAAGCGATACTCAAAACAGTCTCTGTCCATATATTTCGGAGCGCTGACATGGTTCAGGAAAGAGCCATGATACAGTAACTGTTAGAGAGTTACCAAATAACGCATGAGATTGGCGCGACGATGAATTGCCTATTTTTACTTGTTGCGGCTTGTCGAATTAGTTGCGACTGACCTTTTGCGAAACACTTGCGTTACTGTTCACCGTTCATGACGCAATACGGACTGCTAGACGAATTCAATATGTACGTTCGGTGTAAGGAAATTCCCTTTTCCTTACTTCGCGTCCCTGCTCAACGCGTACATCACTGTAGCACCTCAGTCAGCACCGTTACCACTCGCGACCATCGCATCATTCATCATCCCACCCTTTTCGCACATCGCATCCCGACCTCACGGCTCGGCTGGTAACCCGCGCTCCGGACCTACGCTTCGACACTTTCCCAACCTCAGTCCCAGGCTCGTCGCGCGACCATTACCGTTACCACGGTAGTTTCGCTATATAATGTTCGCTCATGCCTTCGCTCACTTGTATTCTTGCTTCGATAGTGCAATTCTCGTTCGTTCACTCAATTGCACTCGTAACACTTGGTATCAGAGCCTACGATCTCATCGCGGACCGCATCCACACCTTCGTTTCCCACTATCTCAATTTTTTGGGGGGGGTAGACGTCTCTCAGCGACACAGCACCGCCGCTCGTAGTGCTCTCTCGAAAGCATGCACGGCCACGACCGAGGCTCTCGCTGAGCTTGCCCGACACCCCCGCCATGGCCGATTTCAATCTCGCCACGTTGACGCAGGAGCAACTCGATCGTCTCGTGTGTCAATTGGAGGATTCGGCGCTCGAAATCGCGACTCTCACGGCGGAACGTGACTCCGCCCATCAACAGTCAACGGTGAACGTACCGACGACATCACACGCACCAACCAATGCATCTGCACATTCGGAGGAGCCCATCGTCATCTCATCCGGCACACCAACGCAACACAACAGCACGGGACAGCGCTCAGGCGCAGCCAGTGACGGCGCAGCCCAACCGATGCCCGGCATGGGAGGGAACAGGAGCGCATTAAGCCCACGGGAGCCCCGAGAAGCCCGTCGGCACGTGGAGTTTGCGGCGACAAGTGGCGAGAACGCCATGATGGCCCCAATGCCACTCAAGCCGCAACGCCCGCCCTGCTTCGACCCAAGCCAACGCGGCGGCCCGACAGTTCAATCGTGGGTCTTCACGATGAATGTGTTTTTCGACGCCAACTACGTCGAGTCGGACGCCGCCAAGATCCGGTATGCGGTTTCACTACTCAGGGGCCCCGCCATGGACTGGTGGCGAGTCATTGTGACGTCGCCGCGCGCCTACGAGCCACCGTCGCACGAGGAAGGGCCCTCGGGTCCAGCTGTTACCTGGAGTTCGTTCTGCGAAACCGCCCAATACAGCACGTGGGATGCGTGGTGCGCAGGGCTTCGGGCGCGTTTTGAGCCGATCGCGGCCTCGATTTCGGCGCGTCAGAAACTGCGCACTTGGCGCCAGCTCGGGTCAGTTCAAGACTACACCAGCGGGTTTCTCGCACTTTGCGAACAGGTCGGCTACATGCACGAGGCGGAGCGGGTGGACCGTTACGTCGGAGGGCTGAAGCCGGACATCTCGCACGAGATAATGCTACGCGGGCTCTCGAATTTCAACGAGATCCTCGCGCTCGCCGAGAAAATCGATATCCTACGCCGACCGAGACCGGGGGTCCTATTACGGACATCGCCCTCGGGGACCGACCGAGCACGCCACTGTACATGCCGTCGCAGCAAATGCAGCTGCCGCGCCGTTTAGAGGGCGCTGCTTTGCTTGCAACCGGCCGGGCCATCGCAAGAGCGAATGTCCAGAGGAGCTGAGGCGTCGAGGAGCAGAGCAGGGGAAGGAGTCTCGGAGGCAGGGAAACGCCAGCAGTCAGTAGAAGTTGGGCCAACTACTGACGAGACTGCCTGCTCGCCCAACCACACCGACCCTCACCGAGTCACAGTACCGATTCACGCCATCGATCGGGCTCGGATGAATAAGGAGGGTACAGCGACGGATTGCCCGGTACTGATCTACGGGAAAATACAGGGAGCAGCAGTGAAGATCTTCATTGACGGAGGAGCAAGCCACAGCTTAGTTAATACCGCAACCGCACGAAAATTACAGTTAACGCTTAACCGATGTTTACCTGAGATAGATGCACGCTTAGTCGACGGCACGCCCCTGGCCATACGGGAAAAGGTGGAGCGCGTAAAAGTCCGCTGCGGGGGGAACTTCGGGTTTACACAGGAAATGCTCGCGACAACACTGGATGGGCACGACATTTTATTAGGACGTGATTGGCTGCGACGGTACAACCCACGGATCGACTGGACGACGGGGAGCTGCACAGTGCGAAGTAGTGGTAACTGGGTCGTTCTACCTCGCTGGCAGCCACCCAAATCTTCGACGGTCCAGGTCAACGCCATCACGATGAAACGGGCTGTCGCTGCTGGAGCTGACGTGTACGCAGTGGATATCGCACTCGTAGAAAAAGATGAGCAGCCGAGTGATTTGGAGAAACTGCTGGCAACTGTACCGACCGAACTACAGGCACTACTGAAACAGTTCCCGGGGATATTTCCGGATGATTTACCACAGGGATTGCCACCTCAGCGGGCGCACGACCATAGGACCGAGTTAGAACCGGGGGCACAGCCAACTGTACAGCGGCAATTTCGACTGACACAGCCCGAGCTCGACGAGTTAAGGAAGCAGTTAGATTACCTGTTAGAGAAGCAGTTTATCCGACCGAGCTCGTCACCGTTCGCCGCACCGATACTGTTCACACCGAAAAAAGACGGAGGGTTCCGCATGTGCATCGACTACCGAGCGCTTAACAGGGTAACCGTCAAATCGCGATACCCCATCCCCCGCGCCGACGAACTGATCGACCAACTGCGAACAGCACGAGTCTTTTCGAAAATAGATTTACGGGGAGGTTACCATCAGATTCGGGTCGAACCATCGGACTGCGCCAAAACAGCATTTAGGACTAGGTACGGGTCATTCGAGTATACAGTAATGCCATTCGGGCTGACGAACGCGCCTGCAACATTTCAGATGACCATGAACGAGGCGTTTAGACCACTTTTAGATAAATGCGTGATAGTTTACCTGGACGATATTCTAGTTTACAGCCGGGATAAGCAGCAGCACTTAGTGGATCTTGAAGCAGTTTTTAAGGTTTTGGAGGAACATCGGCTACTCACCAAGGGCTCCAAGTGCGAGTTTTTTGGGGACAGGCTAGAGTTTTTGGGTCACGTCATTTCGGAGGCTCGGGTTGAGATTGACCCAAAGAAGCTGGATACGGTAAAAGCGTGGCGCCCCCCGACGAACATCACGGAACTGCAGAGTTTTTAAGGTTTTGTTAATTACGTTCGACGGTTCGTGCCCGACATGGCACGTTTAACAGCCCCACTCACTGATTTACTGCGTAAGGGGGTCGCTTTTACGTGGGGAGAGAAAGAGCATGCTGCCTTCTCTGCCCTGAAAAACGTTCTCTGTTCACCACCCGTTCTACGCATCGCTGATCCCCACCGCCCTTTCGAAGTGGTTACCGACGCAAGTGACATCGCCATCGGAGCTGTACTGTTACAGGACTTCGGCGACGGCCTCCAACCCATCGCCTACGAATCACGCAAACTACACCCGCCTGAGCGAAATTGCCCGATACACGACCGCGAAATGCTCGCGATCGTGCACGCATTCAAAGTGTGGCGCTGCTACTTGACCGGCGCAGACGTGACAGTACGGACATACCATCGATCTCTACAGTACCTCCGTGCACAGCCCCACCTCAACCCACGACAGATTCGATGGCTCGATTTCCTCGAGTCGAATTTTCACTATACGGTCACATACAAAAAAGGAGCCTCGAATATCGCCGACGCACTGACCCGCCCCACTGCCCAGATCCACGCGATACTACTCGCCCAGACCAGCCCGCTACTGACAGGCCTATTTACCCATGGATATCAAACAGACCCGTTCTTTACAGGAGGCAACTCACAGCAATTCGCAGCGGCAAAAGGAGTCTATTACGTAAAAGCTGGAACCGACCGCATCTGGGTACCAGGATACACGCTACTGCGGGAACTACTGTTACAGGAGGCACACGACGGAGTTACCTCGGGACATTTCGGGGTAGAAAAAACACGGCAGCAGCTGCAGCGGTACTACTACTGGCCAGAAATGTTGACCGATGTGCAACGACACGTGGCATCGTGCCCCACTTGCCAGCTCATGAAGTCAAGCAGGAAGCGGCCGGCGGGACAATTACAACCCATCCCGCCCCCAGAGCGTGCTTGGCAGCAGGTGACGATGGATTTCGTTACGGGGTTACCAGCTGGGGCGAGTGGGAATGACGCGATCCTGGTTGTCGTCGATCGACTAACGAAGATGGCTCATTTCGCAGCATGCAGGAAATCAATCACAGCCGAGGAAACCGCCCGACTCTTCATCACCACCGTCGTTCGACTGCACGGGATACCCGCATCGATCATCAGCGACAGAGACACGAAATTTACAAGCAACTTCTGGCGGAACCTGTGGCAGCAGTTCGGCACGCGCTTACAGTTCAGTTCATCCTATCACCCCGAAACCGACGGACAGACGGAACGGACAAATCAGACCATGGAGCAGCTGATTCGAGCCACGTGCGACGATCCGAATACGTGGGAACAGCAGCTGCCACTCATCGAGTTCGCATACAATAACGCACCATCAGCCACGACGCAACAGTCGCCGTTTTACTTGAATTACGGACAGGACCCAACAGTACCCATGACACCGAATCCCGACAACCCCGTCCCACGAGCACAACAGTTCGCCGAGATGCTGCAAGCGGCACGGACCAGGGCAGCAGAAGCAATAAAAAAATCAAACATCATCGCTAAACGCAACGCCGATCGCCATCGCAGACCCGTTACTTATCAGCCCGACGACCTCGTTTTACTCGACACTCAGAACCTCCGCCTGCCCATCACTCCAAAACTCCGCCCTCGATACTGTGGGCCATTTCGAATCAGTCACATGGTTACGCCAGTCACCGCGCACCTCCTCCTCCCTGCTGACTGGTACGTCAGCCCCTCGTTCCACGTCAGCTTACTTCGCCCTTACGTGCCATCCACCAGCCAACTCCCACGACATCGACCCACCAGCATGACACGACCACCAACCAAACCAGTCATCACCCCCGACAAGATCCTGAGCCACAGAGTTCGCGACCCTCGAGGAGCCCGAAAAGTGGAGTTTCTGATCCGCTGGAAAGATCGTACCCCCACCGAGGACAATTGGGTTCCCCTGGAGAAAGTTGAAAATCACCCCGTCGTCACCGACTACCTGCGTAGCCGCAATTTCCGAGACATCCACGCGCTTTCATAAGGAGGACCTCCTTAGGAGGGGGGGGTAGTGTAAGGAAATTCCCTTTTCCTTACTTCGCGTCCCTGCTCAACGCGTACATCACTGTAGCACCTCAGTCAGCACCGTTACCACTCGCGACCATCGCATCATTCATCATCCCGCCCTTTTCGCACATCGCATCCCGACCTCACGGCTCGGCTGGTAACCCGCGCTCCGGACCTACGCTTCGACACTTTCCCAACCTCAGTCCCAGGCTCGTCGCGCGACCATTACCGTTACCACGGTAGTTTCGCTATATAATGTTCGCTCATGCCTTCGCTCATTTGTATTCTTGCTTCGATAGTGCAATTCTCGTTCGTTCACTCAATTGCACTCGTAACATTCGGACATGTTCTGCGCGTCTCGGCTAACGTTTTTTAATTGCGTCGCCGGATGAACTGTTTCCAGTCAACTGCTTTGTAAAACGTAAAAAGTTCTGCTACACGCCTAAATCTGGTAACTGTGCTGAAAATATATCGGATATGAACAAAGTTGGACCCGCCCTAATAGCCATTTGGATGTATGGAACTGTTCAGTTGTGTGCATGTCTCATTGACTTGGGATGAAAAATCGTCTCACTGTACACATCCACTCCACCGTAGGTGCGCTAAATGGAACACAGTGTGTGGTGGCACTCTTAGTCGTTTCCATTTCAGGTTCACTAGACATGAACAACCATCTGGTTCAGTTCAGACGCATCTTCAGGCTGCTATGTGCACCAGTGTCCAAACATTTGCCTACCTCAGATCTGCACGTCCCTAGCGTGATAAAAGCATGTCTAGCATCCTCGTCCCTCCACACGCCACTATCTCCTCTGCTCCCCGCCTGCTCACCTCACCCACCCGCTTCAGTGCCCGCCTCACCTCCCCCTCATTCGCTGCTCCCTCCTCTCCCATCCCCCCACCACCTCCCACCATGTCCTCACCACCACCACCACCAGCACCGAGCAGCACGGCTACCAGCAGCGGCACGGCTCCTACCAGCACCAGCTGCTCCTCTACCGGCGCACACAGCCCCACCGGTCCCCTCGCACTCATCTCCTCCTCTCCTCGCGGCACCAGTGCTGCCACAGCCGCAGCCACGCTCACATTGGTGAAGGGATTTGGCAGCTGCTCCCTGAGCAGGTCAACGAGAGGGAGCAGCGCGCCCGTGAGGAGGATTGAGCGGCGCACGACGGGGGAGAGGGAGAGGAGGCGGAGTGTGGTGGCGGAGAGCAGGCGCAGGTCGAGAGGGAAGGCGGGCGAGAGCAGGGCGACGAGCGGGGGAAGGCCGCCCTCTAAGGCGATCAGTGAGCGATAGTCCCTGCAGGAGAGAGAGGGTGGTGGAGAGGGGAGGGGGCAGGTGAGGGAGGTTGAGGAAGGGGTTGGGAAGCTGCTCCTGCAGGAGGTCAACGAGAGGGAGCGGGGGAATGCCACCTTCTAAGGCGATGCGGGGAAGCTGCTCCTGCTTCTATGGCGGTGAGGGAGCGGTAGTCCGTGTGGGAGAGAGGGCGATGGGGGGAGGGGAGGTGAGGTAAGAAAGGTCAGGAAACAGGATGTGAAAGAGTGTCTCATTTTGACGAAATCATTGGATCCACCACATTGATTTTGATTTTGTCTAACTATTGCTTGTCCCTCCCAGGCTGGCACATACACCCACTCAACCCCCTAACTGACATCTCCTTACCTCCGCACCTTCGCGTTCCAAAGCAGCACACGGCCTCGACTGCCCGTCTCACCTGCCAGCAGCCCATGCAGGCGCACCCTCTCCCCCACCGCCATCATCCCTCACCTCCCAGCAGCACATGAGCCTACCAGCCAGTCTTACCTGCTCTTCAGCCCAGCAATGGCACAGAGCACGGAGACAGCATGCAGGCGCACCCTCTCCCCCACCGCTGTATCCCTCACCACCTGCAGCACCGGCACCAACCCCTCCAACTCCACAACCGCCACCACACCCCCCTCCGCCCTCTCCTCCCTCTCCACTCCCCCCACCCTCCTCACCGCCCCCTCCACACTGCCACCCCCGTTATAATCACCCTCCGGGTCGACCTTGGCCAGTGCAGCGAGGGCAGCAAGGGCGTAGATGCGAACAGTGGGGGTGGAGGGGTGCGCGAGGTGGGGAATGATGCAGGCGATGAGCTTCCTGGTGGGCAGAGGCACGGCAGGGCGAGGGCTCTGAGCCAACCCTCCTATGATCCCCAGCATGTACTCCTCTGTCTCCCCACTCATGCACGCCCTTGCTGCCGCTGCTGCTGCCGCCGCCGCTGCTTCTGCTGCTGACTCATGTGCCTCTGCACTAGTTGAGCTGGTACCAGTGGTGTGGCTGGAGGTGTCAAGGCTGGCGGTGTCAGCGGGGTGCAGAGCGGTGGGAATGGAGAGGGCGGAGAGGAGCAGGGGGACCGCGCCGTGCTTGACCACGCACGCCCGCGTGGCGAGCAGCGATTGGCTGTCCTGAGGGGGGTCCCGGAAGACCATGTTCTTGAAGAGCAGAGCGGCAGACTCTCTCACCTCCACGTCCTGCCAGCAGGGAGCGGATTGGGGAGATGGGGGAGGTGGGGGATAGGAATGGTGGGGGAGAGGACTTTTGAGTCGACTCAAAAGGGTCCCGGAAGACCATGTTCTTGAAGAGCAGGGCGGCTGACTCTTGCACCTCCACGTCCTGCCAGCAGGGAGCGGATTGGGGAGATGGGGGAGGTGGGGGATAGGAATGGTGGGGGAGAGGACTTTTGAGTCGACTCAAAAGGGTCCCGGAAGACCATGTTCTTGACGAGCAGGGCGGCTGACTCTCGCACCTCCACGTCCTGACAATGACAACCAGACACGTAGAGATCGGATTGGTGGGTGGGAGCGGTGGGGGAGGAGTTGCAATCACATAGGAAAAGTGGAAGAGAGTTGAGCAACTGGTTGGTGGAAGAGGAGGTGCGGAAGGGAGGAGGGCTGGTAGTGGAAACATCAAGGCTGCAGCAAACGCTTAAGGAGTCAAAACGAAGTGGAAGCGAGGAGAGCAGGAGATGAGATACAGAGGGCGATACAACGGGAGAACAGGGGTGGGGAGGGGTTGGGGGGGTGGGGGCGGCAGTTGCACCTTGGAGCGCAGCAGAGGCACGAGGAATGACATGGATCCCGAATCGGTGACGTGGCAGCGCACCGAATCACAGCGCGCCAGCTGGCCGAGGGCGAAGACGCAGCGGCTGAGAATCAAGCGGTGTGGCTTCCGCACCTGCAGCAGCAGCGCCTGGTGTGGCGAGGGTGTAAGGGGGCGAGAGAAGAAAGAGTGCAGAGCAGAAATCGCAAGTTAGGGATTGAGAATCTAGCCACGTGGACTAAAGGTGGGGAACACCGCCACTTGTGCGTTTACCGTCACTCGTGTCCCTTGCGTTTACCTGAACAAGAACGTACGTTTTGTATAATAAATGCAAAACGCGCGATTACCTGAAACAAGAACTATCCACATACTACCTGACCGTTCTTGCCACACCCACAAAGCTGGACCTGCTGGCTGCCCACCTGAAGAAGCCCCTGGGAGGCCAGAGCAGTGCGCAGCTCGTCAGAAACAGCCAGGCACACGAGTGACGTGGCGACAGCTGATTGTACGACAGGCGGGCGGCGGGAGGAGAGCGGCTTGAGGGCGGCAGCGAGAGCAGGCTGCCATTTGCCGGCCAGTATGCGTGCTGCGAGGGAGAGCGTGGCGGTGATGGCGCCCGTGTCACAGCCCTGGTGGACAACACATCGCAGGGGAGAAGCAGAGGGAATGAGTGCGCCGGGGAACGAATGCATGAGAGAGCAGCAGCGAGAGCGGGCTGCCATTTTCCGGCCAGTATGTGCGCTGCGAGGGAGGGCGTGGCAGTGATGGCGCCCGTGTCACAGTCCTGGTGGGAGTGTGTGTACAAGGGAAGGGAGGAGCAGGGGTACATGAGAAAGGGGAACGAATGCATGCGAGGGACGGACAGGACTGGGGGGAAGGGCGTGGCGGTGATGGCGCCCGTGTCACATCCCAGCCCTGGTTGTGGGGGAGGAGGATGTACGTGAGTAGACGGATTCGTGCGCAAGGGAGAATCAAGAGCGCAAGTGCAGGGAAACGAATGCATGTGAGTGGCAAACTGACAGCTTCACTTTCCCTGGAGGCACGTGCTCTTGTGGGAGTGCGAGGTGGAAGTGGTAACACTGTTGCTCCATCCATAGTCTGGGTTGGAATGGAGGCATGCAGGCTTATCGATGTCTTATCAAGCCCGAGACAGGCTGAGTCAGCTGCAAAGGCACACGCGTGTATTTGTGTATCCACGAGCACCTATGAGTCTTCAGGAATTTTCACCCCACAATACCTCCACAGCCATACCTACCTACCTCCACCACAGCCTCGGCCGTACCTCCAGGACAGCCTCGGCAGCAGCTTCTTGATCCTCCTCACTGCCATACCACAGAGCCGACACCAGCGCTGCCAACGCCGCCTCCCCCTCCCCCATCGCCTCCTCCACCTCGCCTCCTCCGCCCCTCTCTCCCGCTCTTACACACCCCTCAAAACCCACCGCCCCAACCCCGCAACCAGCACCCCTGCCAACACCATCACCAGCACCCTCACCCTCACCCTCACGAGCATCTCCTCTTCCGGCCCCATCCCCAGTACCTCCCCCTCCTACTCCCTCTCCCCTTACTGCCCCGCCTGGCGCCAATTTCTCTCCTCCCCCTTGCTCTGCTGACAGATGTACCTCCCCCGAGTACGCCCTCCTGGGATTGAACCCTTCATCGCCACTGCTACCCTGCTCCACCTCTCCTGCTGCCCCCTTCCCTCCATCCGTCATCCCGCCCTGCGCCATTCCCCTCACACTGCTCGTGCCTACGCCGTCCCCATGCCGCTGACCCGCCAACTCCATCGCCCCATCCCTCACATCTCCCACACCACCCATATCAGCCACGTCAGCCACGTCATCCCTGCCCCTCTCTTCACGGCTGATTGCACTCGGACCCACCCGCGCCTGCCCATTCTCTCTCAACACCTCTGCTGCACCTGTGCCTCGAAATTCCCCTTTATCCCTCGTCCCTGCTTCACGTGCGTTCTCCTTCCCCCTCTTCCCCGCAGTTCCACACTCCGTCCTCTTCCCCACTCCCCTCCCCTCAATTTCCTTCCGCCTGCCCTCCTCTTTCTCTCCTCTTTCCGCCTTACCCCTCCTCTGCGCCTCCCCTTTTTCCCCCGCCTCCCCCCCCTTGTTCTCCGCCTCTTCCCCTCGCCTCTCCGCCTCGTCCAAATCCTCCTCCAGCACACTCAGCACGCCGCCCGCCACACCCGCATGCCCCACCAGCTCCGCCACATACTGCCGAAGGTCGCTATCCATCCGCGCCAGCAGCGGCCCCACATCGCTCTCTCCCCGCCCCCGACCCCCACGCCCCGGCGTTCTGCTCCCACTAGCTCCTGTCCCACTCATAGCACTGTTTCCACTTGAAGCAGCAGCACCAGAAGCAGCACCAGCAGCAGCGGCAGCGGCGGCAGCGGCAGAGGCAGCTTCAACGGTGAGCAGGAGGCGCTGCATGGTGTTGGCCTGGCGGCGCACGCCCCTCACATGGATGCTCAGGTCCCTCAGCGCGCGCTGCCACTCATGCAGCTCCCCATACCGCTCCGCCACCCCCACCGCGCCCCTCCCCATCCCCTCCTCTCCCTCACTCCCCTCCCCTCTCGCCCACCTGTCACTCCCCCGCGCACCAGCACCATTCATCCCCCCCTCACCTCCTGCCCCACCACACGCAGCGTTCCCCTCGACTGTACCTGCCTCCTGTGCCTCGTTATAAGCAGCCCTGCTAAGAGCGGCGTCGACAGCAGTGACGTGCGCTGCCACCTCCCGGAGGTCGTCGCGGTGGGCGGCGAGCTCCTCTGCCAGTAGCGCCAGCCACGGCTCCTCCACACATGACACTCCTATGGCCCACATGTCCCTCCCCTCCTGCTCGCGTGGGAAGACCGGTAGAGAGAGAGGTGAGAAAGGGAACGAGGAGCATATCTGAAAGAAATGCTCTGAGGCTCTGAGGCTGACGTGGTCCCACCCACCCGGTGGGGTGGGATTGCAAAACGAGGGAGGCATGGAGTTATCAACGGAAGGCACGGTTGACCCCACATGCCGCCCGGCCCACGCCCACCTGCAGCGCCTTCTGGTGATCCGCCATGCGCAGCCGCAGGCTCCTCACCACGTCCCGTGCCAGCTCAGCAGCGCGCCTCCCCAACCGCAAATCCCACGACGCCACCTCATCGCCAGCGCCTTTCATCGCCTCACACGCCTCCAAGATCTCCCGCTCCGCCCTCCCCTCCTTGCCCTCCCTCCCCCTCCCCTTCCCCTCCTCCCCTCTCTCCATTCCCCTCCCCGTCCCTCTCCCCCCCACCCCCCCACTCAGCCCTTCTCCCCTCATCCATCCCACGCTCTCCTCCTCTCCGTCTCCCACCCCTCCACCCTCACTAATCGACAATACTCCACTCAGGGAATCCGAACACGTGTCAGCAGCTGATAGGTCTTGCCGCCTGAGCCACTGCTGAATCTCATCCACAGCCCACCGCTGCGTGCCCACCACGCGCCTCTGCTCGCCCAGATCCCTTATAAGCTTCTTCACTACAGTCTCCTCCATCCACCCGCACTTGAAGCACAGAGCTTTCAACACGCCCACCACCACTGCCTCTCTCTCCACCTGCTGTAGCACCCGCACCAACTCCCCTTCCACCTGCTCCCTGCTCCCTTCCCGCAGCACAACCCCCCGTACCTTCTCCCACCCCGCATTACCCCTTCCGCCCATGCTCCTGCCGTCTCCGTTCCTGCTGCTACCCCTGCAGTCACCGCTGCAGGTACCACCACTGCAGTTACCCCGGCAGCTGGCGCCTTGGGAGTGCCGCAGCTGGGAGAGCAGCGAGGAGACGGACGCACGCAGCTGCTGCAGCAGCCGCTGCTGCTCTGTCGCCTGCCCGCATACTGTTGCCAGCTGGGCCTGTCCCTGCTTGCCAGCTGGCACGAACCTCAGCTGCTGGATCTCGGCCTGGATGGCCCGAGCCTGCTTGGCAGCTTCGGGAAGCGTAGAGGCGGCCTGGGCTGCTAGGTCCGCCAGGCAGTCCGCGAGGGAGAGGGAGGCCTGGAGAGAGAGGGGCGGCATGGGGCATGTGGGATGGGAGGGCAGATGAGGAAAGTGAGGTGGGAGCACAGGTGAGGCGTGTGAGAGCACAGGTGAGGCGTGTGAGAGCACAGGTGAGGCGTGTGAGAGCACAGGTGAGGCGTGTGAGAGCACAGGTGAGGCGTGTGAGAGCACAGGCGAGGCGTGTGAGAGCACAGGTGAGGCGTGTGAGAGCACGTGCAAGCATGTGAGATTGGGTCCCACGGTGCACAATGACTGGACGTGATAAGCAGATGTCCCTATATAAGCACACCTGTTTGAGTGTGAAGTGCAGGTCGCGATAGAAGCTGGAGACACAGAGGCGACTGGAGCGCCCACAGCGTTGAATCACCGTGCTGAGACGCCTCAGGCACCTGCCAGAACGACCGCATAAATCCGCGGAATAGGGCATGTATGAATGGTGTGGATACGTAGATGGGGACATGTAGGACCGATGCACGGATGGATCCATGCATGCGTGGATGCACCAACGCAGCAAACCCAGCAGTGGTATTCTCTGCATCCCCGGAGATGTCCCTATCAGGCACCAACGCTGCCAAAGCTCGTTCCGAGGTTTCAGCAAGCGACGGCAGGCGAGCGCACCTCTCGAGGCGCAGCAGGATGGCGTCGATGGCGACCTGCTGTCGACCCATCTGCACCGCCGCCAACCACGGCCGCATGTCCTGCGCGCACCGAGGAGGGGAAGGCGGGGGGAGTGTAGGGACACACAGTTAAACACGGACGCGCCGAGGAAGGGAGGGTATCAACTGACGCTCCTTCACTTTTTCTGAAATTTGCTCGCCTTCGCTGGCGTTCATTGCTTTTCACTGACAGAGGCTATACGCCGAGTGTAACCTTGGTAACGAAATGTTGCACATAATGACCGGCAACAATTCCCTTTGAGTGGTGCGCGACGAGAGGTGCGGCTGAACGACCACCGTGAACGAAACCCAACCCGGCTAGAGGACTGACAAGCAACCTTAAGAAGTGGTCGACGGATCGACGACAGCGCTACACAGATGCGTAACGCAGTGACGACCGAACCATGAGCTGGAAATGCGGTCTGAGAATTGCCGACTAAAATCGTCGTGATCGTCGTGGAATATAAATCTGTACTGCATCTTGATGTAGGAGGTGCCAGGATCAACGGCTGACTATAAGCAGTCGGGGAATCGACGGCTGACCTTGAGCAGTGGGCGGAGGATGCCGAGGCGGTCGCTGAGCAGCAGGCAATTCTCGAGCTGCACCTTGGCAGTAGGAAGTGGTAAGATCGACGGATATAATTCAACACGGTCGGAGGATCGACGGCTAACCTTGAGCAACGGTCGCAGGATACCGAGGCGGTCGCTGAGAAGCAGGCAGTTCTCGAGCTGCACCTTGGCAGCGCGCCCCGCCTCCTCAATCTCCACCACCAGCGCCAGCTGCCGATCCACCGCGTCCTCCGCCATCGCGCGCTGCTGATGCTTGTCCGGTCCAACTTCTGTCGCGCTCGGTTCAGCTGCTGTTGTGCTCGGTTCAGCACCTGGTGTATTAGCTAAGTGCCTATCTACCACCAATAACGGCTATGGGTCTATTCAGTCATTCGCTGATGCCTGGTACAGATCTTGCTCCCGCCAGTGCCTATCACCCCAAAACTTTCTGGTTGAAGAGACCTTTGTCGGTTCTGCGCGTACTTCTGTTCGGTTCAGTGCCTACCTATCACCAGCGTCTATCCAGTCATTCGATATTGCAGGCTACTAGTTTATCCAGTCATTCGCGTTGCTGATTACACGAATTGCTCAGTCGCCCTGTCTATTCAATTCACCGATGACTCTGGCCGAGAGCATGCGTCCTACAACATAACTGCTGTAAGCGTTTTTCTTGCAAATAGGTTTCTATTGTCTCTCATTCGTCCTGTAATGGTCCGAAGGCAGGAACCGCCTTGGTCGGGAACATCGTCGTGAACTGTTGGCCTGTCCGGGTCGTACGTCTCGTGTACGATTCAGGCGATGCGGAGTTCCCAAGGTGGGATGGAATGAAAGGCACAGATGAGCCGCCAGCGAACGACCACAGGTCCACCATAGTCAAGCAGGTTGAATGAACATGGCAGAGAGAGCTCTGCGATCTGGTTAAGTGCGTTACAGATCGCTGGTGCCTGATGGAAACCGTGTGCCGAATGAACCCCAGACCGCGGTTTGTGCCAGGTCTGTACTGACAGGTTTTGATTTTCGAAGCGTGGCGGTAAATATGCGACTTGACTATACCCGATATTTCGTACCATTACGGGTTTCGGCTTCTTAAAGTAGTGTTACGGGTGCAATGAATCTAGGTAGCGAGGATTGCACTAAGTGTCAAACGAGTACAAAATGTGAGCGAAGGCATGAGCGAACATTTATACGCGAAACATGCAAACGGTAACGCGGTGCGTGCGAGCTAGCTAGTGCTAGGCTGGCATCGAGGCTCGGGCTAGTCCCGAAGCGTAGGCCGACACGGCCGGGCCAGCGGTGAATGGTTTGGTGAAACATAGCGCGAGAAGTCGGCGAAGCCCCGATAGCAGTAACGGGCGAACAACGGCTGCTGCTGTACGCGATGTTGCAGGATGCGCTAAGGAATGTCAAGAAAATTCCTTGCACTACCCCACCCCCCCCTCAAGAAGCCCCCTCCGCTACACGAGTGCGTGTATATCGCGGAAAACCCTGGCTCCTCATGTACACTTGCAGGGTAGGGTGGTTTTCGATGTTGGCCAGGGGCACCCAGCTATCCTCAGTTGGCGTGCAGTCCTTCCAGCGAACCAAGAATTCAATCCTCCTGATTCCCGTGGGGTGTCGAATTCGATGGCTCATGATTTTTTCTGGCTCGATGATCGGCTCCGATGCAGGGCGAGTCATGGATGGTGGGCGATGACGAGGCAGTTGGCTCGTGGTTGGGATGTAGGGGCGAAGCAGGCTGACGTGGAATGATGGGCTGATGTACCAGTCTGTCGGCAACAGTAAGTGTGCTGTCACTGGGGTAATCATGTGGCTGATTTGAAATGGTCCACAGTAGCGCGGTCGTAATTCCAGTACGACGGGCAGTCTTACGGTAAGTTATGTGTGTCGAGCAGTACTTAATCTCCTGACTGGTACGTGACTGGACGGTGGTGGCGGTCAGCGTTGCGCTTAGCGATGACATTTGTTTTTTTAACTGCTTCGGCGGCTCTGGTGCGGGCAGCTTGCAGAATCTCGGCGAATTGTTGTGCGCGTGGCGTTGGGTTGTCCGGACTCAGCGTCATGGGCATTGTAGGGTTTTGCCCGTACTTCAGGTAGAACGGGGACTGCTGCGTCGTTGCTGATGTGGCGTTGTTGTACCCGAACTCAATCAGCAGCAGCTGCTGCTCCCAAGTTGTCGGATCGTCGCACGTGGCACGAATCAGCTGCTCCATCGTCTGGTTCGTCCGCTCCGTTTGACCGTCGGTCTCGGGGTGGTACGACAAGCTGAACTGTAGCCTGGTCCCGAACTGCTCCCAAAGGTTCTTCCAGAAGTTGCTGGTGAACTTCGTGTCGCGTTCGCTGATTATCGCGGCTGGTATCCCATGGAGTCGAACGACGGCTGCGATGAACAGGAGAGCGGTTTCTTCGGCTGAGATCGATTTCTTGCATGCAGCGACGTATGCCATCTTCGTCAACTTGTCAACGACGACCATAAATGAGTCGTTACCCCTAGGATTCGAAGGTAACCCTGTGACGAAATCCATGGTAACCTGTTGCCAGGAGCGCTCAGGTGGTGGAATCGGCTGCAACTGCCCGCCTTTCTTTTTCGCGAGCTCTTCATCACCTGACACGTAGGACACGAGCCCACGTGGTGCTGCACGTTTGTCAACAGCTCCGGCCAGTAGTAATACCGCTGCAGTTGCTGTCGCGTTTTTTCTACCCCAAAATGTCCCGAGGTAATTCCGTCGTGTGCCTCCTGCAGTAGCAGTTCCCTCAGTAGTGAGTACGCGAGTACCCAAATGCGGTTGGTGCTTGTTTTTACGTAACAGACTCCTTTTGCTTCTGCCAGTTGCTGTGAATTTCCGGTCGCGAAAAATGGGTCGGTACTGTGAAGAAATGAAGAATGAACGAACTATCAAGCAGGTGGGTACAAGTAGGAAAACCTGGAAATGTTGTACCCCATATAGTCTACCCCACTACAGCCTACACAGACTATAGCATATAAGTTTGACACACCCCCATAGGCAAAGTGGGGGAGAGCAAGAGGTCACAAGACCAGTCAAGCAAAGCAAAGCAAGCTCAGGGTGGATCACAACGTCACCACACAATCCGAGCACAAGAGCAAGGCCAAAAGGCCAGTTCACATGCAAGATCATATATAAAGGTAAACAAGCAAGTGCAGGTATAGAAAGATCACAGTACAAGCAAGGTCAAGAAGTGAGCAAGTGAGGCCAAGTAGGCACAAGACCTAGCATAGTACAAAAGCGTTGATGATCACCAGGCGGAAGTGCCTTGGTAAAGATATCAGCAGTGTTGGCCTCAGAGACCACGTAAGCAAGGCGCAGCTGACCACGCTGCTGCAGCTCACGAACAAGGAAGTAGCGGAGAGCAATGTGCTTCGTTCTGTGCTCCAGTCTGTGCTCCCGACACAAGGTCAGCATGGCCTTGTTTGTCAAACATTATACATGTTATGCTTGTGTAGGCTACAGTGGGTTAGCCTATAGGGGATACACAATTCTAGGGTTTACTACTTGTACTCATTTCACTTCTAGTTCATCCATTCCTGTTCGCTTATTCTCACATGGTATAGAGCGGGTCCTTCTACGGACCGTTTTTTTTGGGCCCACCGAAGCGCCCCCCGAGGCGCGATTTTTTTAGCGACCCCTCGGGTCGCCATTTCCCCTGCGGCCCCGCCGCCTTCACTGACGCGGCCCCGCCGCCCTCTCTGACGGGGCCCCGCCGCCGGCCCTTAAGCGGCCCCGTCGCTGGCTCTCACGCGGCCCCGCAGCCGGCTCTGTCGCGGCCCCGCCCCGGCCTTTACGCGGCCCCGCCGCCTGCTCTCACGCGGCCCCGCCCCGGCTCCTTCGCGGCCCCGCCGCCTGCTCTCGCGCGGCCCCGCCCCGGCTTCTACGCGGCCCCGCCCCGGCTTTCACGCGGCCCCGCCGACGGCTTTGTCGCGGCCCCGCCCAGGCCCTTACGCGGCCCCGCCGCCTGCTCTCACGCGGCCCCGCCCCGGCTCCTTCGCGGCCCCACCCAGTCGCGGCCCCGCCCCATCCCGGCCCAGCCGCCCCGTCGCGGCCCGGTCGCCTCCTGACGGCCCCGCCGTCCCTTCGTGACGGCCCCGCCGTCCCTTCCTGACGGCCCCGCCGTCCCCTCCTGACGGCTCCTGCCGTCCCCTTCTACCGGCCCCGCAACTGCACCTGCTGGCCCCGCCGCTGCACCTACCGGCCCCCACCACCCCCCCCCTTTTCCCGTCGCCTGTCGAGGCGACCTGAGGGGGCCGCTTGCGGACCTGAGAGGCCAGCAGAGGGGTGGCAGGTGTGTGGCCTCCCCTGCTTCTCCTCCTCCTTCATCTCCCACTGCAGCAGCCGAGCCGCTCACCTGCAGCAGCCGAGCCGCCCCACCGCCGAGCCGCCCTGCACCCGAGCCGCCCAGCAGCCGAGCCGCCCTGCCGCCGAGCCGCCGGGTCGCTGAGCTGCTGAGCTGCAGTTGCTGCCGAGCCGCCCTGCCGCCGAGCCGCCGAGTCACCGAGCTGCTGAGCTGCAGTTGCTGCCGAGCCGCCTTGCCGCCGAGCCGCCCGAGTCGCCCGAGCCACCGAGCCGCCGAGCTGCCGAGCCGCTGAGTCGCCGAGCCTACTCTTCCCACCACTGGTGAGCTCTTGCCCTGCAAGCACGCTGCGCGTCGCCTGCTTGCCTGCCTGCCTGCCTTTTGGCTTGCCTGGCTGCCTGCCTTCCTGCTGCTAGTCTTGCTCCTGCTTCTACTTGCGGAGCCAGATGCAGCCCCAGCGACGCCTGCGTGAGTCCCTCACGCCCCAGCAGCTGCGTGAGTGGTACGCTGGTTGGTGCTGTAGGGGTGGCGACGCTACTCCTACTACCACTCCTGCTGCTTCTACTCGTTGTGGCGGCCAGATGCAGCTCCCGCGACCCTCTCGCGTGTCTCTCACGCCTCGCCAGCTTCGTGAGTGGTACGCTCAGAGTGGAGGGTCTCTCAGTGCTGTTCGCTGCTCTTACGTGATTCGCACTGGTACTCGGACTGGTCAGCCTTGTGGGACACATAGTCATACACAGTCCCGCTGCTTCGCCCGTCTGAGCGACGCCTGGCGTACCGTGTTTGGCGACGAGGCTGAGCTTCCCGACTGGGTGGAGTTGCTTAGGCAGAGGGTAGATATATATGCTCTTGACTATGATGCTATTCTCACTGCCATGTATGCATTGCCTACTAGTGCTGACCGTGCCGGTCACCTGTGCGTCCCGCCTGACCCAGGTATAGGACCTGCTGCT